GACGAACTTCCGAAAGGGGAGCTCAAATCGCCCCGGGCAAATTTTGGGCACCTGAGATTTGCAACCGGAAGGCTCGTGTGCACGCCGTTAATGAACGTCTTTTAGAATTGCCCGAGCAACTGGGTGCCCCCGGGCATGTCTGCTCGTCCTCCAGTGCTTTTCAGAGACTTCGGGGAGCTGTGTGGCAATCTACAGCGCGGAGTTCGCCGGAGAGAAGGCGTTCGCAGCTTCCTTGGTGATCGACGCGGAGGCTACAGCCGCCAGTGCAATGCCTGCACGCATCTGCAGCTTGCGGAGTGCCTTCGCACGCCTCTCCTCCGCGCGCAGCTGTTTTGCCTCTGCGACATCTCGGCGCCTCTGCAGAGAGGCAGCTTTGCGGTGATCCTTCGCTGCGGCCTCGGCGATCTTGGCTGCCTCAGCCTCCTTGCGCCGCTTGAGCAGATCGGCTGTTGTGAGCCAGTCCGCGGGCGCCCCACTGTCAAACGCAGGCCTCTTGTGACCATTCTCAGCTCTCGGGATAGGTTTCGGAGCGGAGATACGGTTCATGAGGATAGTGTTCACAGTGTTGGTGTTTGCCAGCATAGTTTGAATGCGCTGAATCTTGACGGCACTGGCCACATCCTCGGCCATAAATGCTGCAATCTTAAACTCTGTCTCAGCATCAGGTTGACGTTGCGGTACATCAACTGCAAGACCAACGCCGCTCGAAGGCCCTTCATTGCGTGAAGAGCCCGCACCGCTTGAAGGACCAGCAGCTGTCTCAGAGAAGAGGAGCAGCTGCTCCACTGATGTCCTGAACCGATCAGCGAAGTGGCGTTGAAACGGGAACAGGCCGCACGTGAGAAAAGATAAGCGCACGTCCGACTCCGAAATCGCTTGATGAGCGAATACAGCGCACGCCAAGCTGAAATTGACAGACCGCGCGTCTATGAGACATACCTCTGCGAATTTGTCTCGGATGATCTTCAGAGACGTTTTGAACCTCTTATTCACCATCTGATCACACGGCTGGAGGAAGTGCGATGTATTGGCTGGAGACTGGACGATCTCGCATCCAACTTCTTCACAAAGCTCCAGCCACTTGTAGCCGTTCCGAGAGCCGTGGCCGTCTAGCGTGAGTAGATAAATGTCATTTACACCAGCGAAATTGCGCATGAAGTTATCCAGATGCTTGATGAAGGCTGGGAGAATAGCCTTTTCCATCGAGCCGTTCTCAGTGACCTTGATAGTGGCGTCGTCCGGCATCCATCCAGGTTTAGTAAACATGTGGCAGTCCGAATCGGCCTCGAGAAACACCTGATCCAGAGGATCCAGCCACTTTTGCATGATCTTCTTCCCAGAAATGATGAAGAACGGAGGGGCCACGACGCCGTCTGCAGAAACCGCGATGACGGCGGTAATATGCTGACCACAGCCGTTCAGCGTGGAGGCGACAAACCCCCCGTGGTGCGTGTTCGAAGGACCAAAGACCTTAATGCGCTCTCCAAAACTGACTGTGACAGACGTCTCATCAGTGTTCCAGATGCGCCGGCCCTCTTGGAGAATACCAGGATGCTTGCGCTCGACGCTCTCAAGAATAGAAAAGAAAGGCTCGACGTGATTGAAGCGCTCTCCCTTTAACTTTACTGCCTCTTTATTCTCCGAGTTCCTGAATGTGAGATCCCGATTGCGCGCACGGAAGGCTCTAATGGAATCATTGATTGGGTGGTAGTCTGCCCACGTCCTCTCACGGCCGTCGTTCGCGACTTGCGCCATAACCTCACGCAGATGCTTGTAACCGACGGCAAATCCCTTCTTCGCACTAAACTTGAGCCGCTCAACTATCATGCGTTCCTCTTTGGTTGTCAAAACAGTAGGAGATCCAGCTCTCTTCGACGTGTCAAGGTTACACTGCGACGCCAGCTCTTCCCACCTTTCCTCCTTCATCATTTTGTTCAGCATGTAGACAGAGCCCTTGGACAAACCCGTCATGCTCGCAATGACTCTCTGCGTCTTCCCTGCCTTGAGGTGCTCCACCGCATGCTTCTTGGCAATCACACGTTTCTCATGCCCCGTGGCCGCCAACAGTAGGGTGCGCGTCTGCCTGCGCATCGAGGGTGGCATTGAGTCTTGCCTGGAGAGAAGTCTGGATCGAAGAGATTGTTTGGAGAGGCTGCTCGGACTGTAGTGGTAGTCAGTCTCGGATCAAGACTCTATAGAACCGTGCAAGAGCTTTCAGCAGACCGGACAGCACCTGCAAAAGCGCGCCCGCGCTTCCCCGTCAACGCTTTCCCGCGCGCATGCACTTCGCTTTGCACTCTGACAAAGCGCGCGAAGCGTATTGGTGTTTGCCCAAAATTAACCCTCTGCCCATATTTACACCAATGGGAAGGGTAGCTCTTTTATAATTTACAAGACAGAAATTTCGTCATGCACGTCCCTGGTACTGCATGTAGTCAATCGATACTCCAAGCAAGGACTCGAACGCATACAAACGCGGAAGCACGCGTTCTTGGTACTGTACTGTTACGAGGCATTCGGTTGCCAGGTGGCGAGCTGGACACGCGTACCACGGGGCGGAGCGCATCCGTATACCGCCGAAGGACGGGCAAGCGAAAGGCGGGAAGGAGGGAGCGAGACAGCACGCGCGGGGAATTGGGGGTGCCAGCCACCAGGGAGACGAAGGGAAACCATAGGCCGCACGGGGCTCGGGCTGGGGCAGAAAGACCGCGCAGGTCGCCGGCCGAGGGCGCGAAGGGAAAATGGCACGAGGAGGTGGCTACCGGTGGGGCAAGGGGAAGCTGGATCGAAGGGGAAATTACGGGAGGGAGGGTTGGGGATAGCCGACTCATCCCGAGGAACGTGTACTTAAGAAGCCATCCCCGAAGATAGGAAGGGGGAGGCAGCAGACTTGCGAGGAGTAAAAGAATACGGGTGGATTCCCGTCATTACAGGTCGCTCGGTGCCCCGCGGCAGAATTGCCGCAACAGTACTGCACGTAGTTTATCGATACTCCATGTTGGATATCGCTACTACACATACTGCGCACATCCCTCTCCACCTGTCTCCTGGCCAGGGGGCACTCTCTTTTCCCACACTCCAAGAATGGACTCGACGCATACAAAACTCGTGAGCAAGTGTACGCACTGCAAAATGCATTACACTAAACTACACGAGTACTGTACACGTGTACTATGCCGATGCATTACAGCAACAAACACCTGCAGATTGTACATTGTGACAAGTGAGAGAGCGGTACGATTTGCGAGCACAAGCATTGAGGTCATCACCTCACCTCGATCGCAAAAACGTGATCCCGGTCAGTGCTCCGGCTGCTGGGCATATGTACTCCGCCAGAACCCTCCGGTCTAAAACCGCCCCCTCTCCCCCCCATCCTCTTGCTGCGCCCCGTGTACCCCTCCCCCTCCCCTGTCCCGCCTGCGCAATGTATTCCCCTCCCTCCCCTTCTTCCATCTTACATCTCCCCCCACCTTACCCCCCGCGCCCTGTCCACCGTGACACGCGTCGTCTCCAGGCCCTCCTCCCCTTGTCCTCGCCCCTCGCCCTGTTCCGCCTCCCCTCGCACCTCGCCCTTCCCCTTGCTCATCTCGCTCCGTCGCTACCAGCCCCTCTTGTCTGGCTCAACGACCGCTGGTCCCTCCCTGACATCGTCCACGCTCTCCGTTCCTCAGGAGCTACCCACCTTCTCCTCCCCCCCACCTCGCTGCCTCCTTCCTTTCGCCCGCAACTGCTCCAACACATACCACAACTAACACTCCTCACAATCCAACGCCTCCCTTCCGCCGACATCCTCATCTCCCCTCCCCTCCCCCCCACCACCACGGCTATCCGCCCTCCCGCATCCCCAACCCCTGCCATCTTCTTCACCAGTGGCACCACTTCCCTCTCCAAGCCAGTCATCCTCCACCCCCACTCTCTCCACGTCCAGTCTCTTTCCAAAATTGCCCACCTTTCCCTCCGCCCATCCTCCGTCTACCTGCACCTTTCTCCACTCTTTCACCTCTCCGGCCACTCCACCTCGCACGCCATCTCCCTCATCCGCGCCGCCCACGTCTTCCCTCCGTCGCATCTGCGTCCCTCGCGCCCCGCCGATGCCCGCGCTCTACTCGCCCTCGTCCGCGAGCATCGCGTCTCCGTCCTCGTCCTCTTGCCCGCTGTCCTTATCCTCCTGCTCGACGCCGCGCCTGCCGCTTCGTACCCGTCTGTCGACGTGCTGCTGTACGGCGGCGGTCCGCTTTCACACGCGTTGCGCCGGCAGGCCCAAACCCTGTTTCCCAACGCACGAGTTGTGGCGGCATATGGCATGACAGAGGCTGCAAGCTCCCTCACCTTTTTCCACCACGATAACTTTCCACCAAACTCCCCGTTGCACAACAGCGTGGGCTGGCCGCCGAAGCACGTCGAGCTGCGCATTGACACTTCCGTCGTACGCGGAGACGCACGAGGTGTCGGGGAGATTCTCACCCGCGGGCCGCACGTTATGGCGGGCTACGGCGTCGTGCGAAGGGGAGTGATGCATGGATGGCTGAGGACAGGCGATTTGGGGTACGTCGATGCTGGCAGTGGGGCATTATTCTTGAAAGGGAGGTGTAAAGATATGATCAAGTCTGGGGGGGAAAATGTGTTTGCAGGCGAGGTAGAGGAGATGCTCATGAGGGGCGACCAGGTAGAGGAGGCGGCTGTTGTGGGGATTCCACATCGCGTGCTCGGCGAGGCAGTTGCGGCTGTGGTTGTCTTGATGAGTAATGTGACAAAACCGGAAGGGGAGGTGCTCTCTGAGCTGATGGAATTGTGTAGGGAGTGCTTATCGCCATTCAAGAGGCCAAAGTGGATCGTAAGGAGCAGGGAGTTGCCCAGGACGGCTACGGGGAAGATCAGAAAAGGCGTGGTGAAGCACATGCTCAGAAAGCAACTGATGGAGGCGACGGCAAAGTTGTAGGGACGGGACGGGACGGGACGGCGATTCCGAGCACGAGCGTGCCGGCTCTGTGTGTGGTGGGTTTCACTAATGATACATGGTGCGGGTGGGTTTAAATCCAAGCGTTACTTGGTTAACGCAACTTGCAATACTGTACTACTGGCTGAGGGATAAGACGCATGAGCTTGGTGCATTCGCTTCTGAACTTCGGTTCGTCGAAATCTATGTCTCTTGTACAAGCGTTGTCCAAAATTGAAACTAAACAGTTCTTTCACATCTTACGAGAGGCTTTGGCCTGCGCTGTAGCTCGTTCTTTCTGCTTCCGCTCGCGTCCAGATGAACAAACCTCTCAATCGATGATCCCAACATGACTCTCTCTGCGCAAACATAACCTCCCTTCTATGAAAAGTCTCTCTCCTTGCTTGATGGACCCCTCAAATCAAGCACTTCCGCGTTCTGTGCTGGGACTTGCGTGGGTCTTCCGTCACGGTATCTCACTCAAATCTTCCAATGTCAAAGGTCATCGTAGAGGAATGTAACCCTGCGGTTATGGTGAGCCTTTCGACGACGGCCATTCTTGTCGCGCCTTCCATAGCTCGAAAATTGGGGAGTGTCGGACGTCGAATGTCTCGAAGGAAGGGCGTCTTCCGGGTCAGTATCCTCGGGCGCAGACTGACCTTCCCAATACCACGGAATCGGATTGTCGACTCCCGAATCAGTCTCGGGTTGAACATGACGATAGACAGACTTTGCGTTCGTATACGAGTTGGAATACCCAATGCCGGGTAGAGGAGGGGCGCGTCGATGCTTCTTGGATTTACTCTTCGGGTCTCGCTTCCTGCGCTCTGGGTCCTCGTCACGAGATCCTTTATGGGAACGGCTTCTGTCTCTCTCATGTGAGTGCTTGCGGTTGGCGCTCCTGGTTCTTTTCGAACCATGATCCCTCTCGGATCTTGATAGCACTTCTGATCTCCCCGATCTGTCACGCTTGTCAGATCGTTCAGACCTCTCCCTTCTCTCGGATCGTTCAGACCTGTCCGACCTTCCGGACCTCTCAGATCTATCCAATCGCTCATCTCTTCTCTCCCGCGAACTAGATTTCTGCGTGCGATGCGAGCGGTCCCGAGACGAGTGATCAGCACGGTCTGAGCGGTGGCCACTTCCTGATCTCTTCCCACTCCGGCTTCGCGAAGAAGGGTGTTCAGAAACTCCGTCTGAACCAGAGTCGTAGCCACTCTGCTCAAGACGGCGTTGAGACGACTCAGCCCTGGAACGAGATTTTGACTTTTTCCTCCGTGATGCTTCATGATCATGAGAGCTAGATTGTTGATACAAACAACCCGGACATTCATCATCAGAGGGTGGGGCCCCTGCATAGTATGCATCCTCATGGTGTGAATGACTTCCACCATGACGCGAACTTTGTCGCCTTTCCGAAGAATGCTGCGCACTCGAAGCAGGACGAACCTCCTGTTGGTATGGAGAACTCCTCGCATCGAAGTAGACATCGTGATCGGAGTCTGATGCAGCATCGGTCCATCCCTCGCCGTGTTCCCTCCTTGCCATGGTACCGACTCGCTGCGCATACTCAGAAGGCAGCAGATTGGCGCTTTCGTATGTATCGGTCAAATTTCCGAGCCGGGCACGGTCTGTGCTTGACATACTGCCTTCATGCTTTCGTGAACGCGTGGTGCTGTCCTCCTTTCTCCGTCGTCGTCGTGCTTCCATCTCCTCCCGCTTCTTCAGAATGCTCATATACGGATCCCCCTCTGCGTCATGAGCCATCGAGGAGCCTTCTCCATACCCAGATCCCCTGCCACTTCTGGAGCTTCTACTACCAGTCTTGCTGGAAAATGACGGGTAATGCGAAGACCCGTTGCCGTAAGACACGCTTTCCTCGGCATACAGTCGTGCCGGAAGTGCAGTTGCTAAGCGCTTTGCGTCCGGATCATGCTGGTCCTCTAGCACTGGCGGTAAACTATGCTGGGAGAGTCGACTACCATCCATGTCTCGACGACCATTCGAAGGCATGCGTGAATCCATCGACATCGAGGAGTTTGCATCTCCCAGTTTAGCTTGCTCTTGGGGATTGTAGGTAGGAAAACATGCATTAGTCTCTGGAATGGTTTGAATAAGCGGGAGGACGTCGAGTTGTTCCGGTTGAGGATACTTGAAAACGGCCACCGGTGAGCTCGTGATCTCGTCATCGGAAAGCATGCGTGCCGGTTGAGGATACTCCGGAAACGACGGGATGGCCCGCACGACGGCGTGCTGCTCCTGGGGAGGTGTGGAATTGAACTGAGGATATTCTTGAAAGACAGCGCAACTGCGATTCTTCCCGTCCGCCACGGGGAGAGCATGTGTCGTCCCAGACCGCAAATGCTCCTCGGGGACGAAACGCAATTCCCTCGGACGGTCATCGTCACTCGACCCGGCACCCCGTTCTTCGTCCGAAGGCGGGGAAAGAGCGTCCTCTTCTTTGGCCTTGCTATCAGCGGTGAGGCTTTTGATAAAGTCGGCTGGGGCCGCGGCCATGTCGCCACCATTCGCGACCGCCAAGGGCAGAAGTACCGATGCAGCAGCAAGGAGCGGGAGGCGTTTCCGTGTCTCGCGTCTGACAGAGGAGGCAACGGGCGGCGCCGAAAGCGCCGAGTGTCCGTCCTCATCGGCTAAGCTCTCCAGCAAGGAGCTGCTCGATGGCAAATCAGGCTCCGCGGCATCGTCCGCAGCATTGGCGTCAGCATCTTGAGGTTCGGTGGAGCGGATAGACAATGGGTCGGCCAAAAGCTCGTTCGAGTCGACGGGCTCCACGACGGGGTCAAACGGGTTGGGCGCGGTAGGGTCAAGCGGGGCCGACTGGATCGGGACAGGGGCGTCAGTATCTGATGGGCCAGAACCTTGTTCCTCGGAGGGAGCGTCAGCAAGGTGGAGTTGAGAAAGGGGGGCGTCTATGGATGCGACGCGATTATCGGGGCTGTCAGTGGGTTGAGTCGGCGAGGTAAGCGGGTTCTGGGAGGAGTCGGTTGAAGGAGGGTGTTGCAGCGGTGGCGGTGTGTGCGGCACAGAATGCAAGGCACGGGAGGTTCCAGCGGCAGCGAGAGTTTCTAGACTGTCCGGGGACTTAGCCGGCTGGGCAACGGGGTGGTCGGTATTGAGGACGTTGGAGACAAGAGAGGGGAGCAGATGAGCGTCTTCGGGTGGGGGATGCGGGCGGCTCGGGGATGGGGGCGGTGCGTAAAGCACACGGCGGGGCGGGGCCGCGATGTTCGACGGCCTATTCTCCGTGGACGAGTCGTCTAGAGACTGGCGGTCTAGGTGAAGGTCGTCGGGAAGGCACTTGTGCACTGGCAAGAGAGGTGCGGGCGAGTCGTGCATTGGGATCTCCGGGAGGACAGTGTCAAACTCGTTGGGGTCGTGCGGGATTGGCGGGGCGACGGAGTGTTGCACGAGGCTGAGCGAGGGCTGGTTTTGAGTTGGAGCGGGCTTGGCCGGTTGGGGCGGGGGGTGGTCCATGGCGACGGATTGGATGCGCAGGGCGGTGCAGGCGACGCCCAACTGACGCGTGGTCCGATCGACGGCGTCCTTCGCGGTGTCAGACATGTGGTGGAGGTGTGTGCCGTTTGACGACG